GAATAAAGATTTATTTTCCACCAAAAAAAAGTGCAGACAGAAATTACTAAACAAAATGCCCAATGAAACTTTGGGCAAAGGGTCAACTTGAGATCCTGCTCAGACCATACATTTATATTACTCCCACTTTTTTATTTTTAAATATAGGTTCAATATATACAACATACCAAAAATATTATGAAACTTAATACGATTTTAAACACATTTTATAATTAAAAGATGACATCATTAGAAATTTTAAATAGTATATTAGAATTAAATAGATTTAATATAATAAAAAGTGTTGATCTTGTTGTTACAGGTAAAGAAATACCGTTATATAAAATAAAACAAAAAATAAATAGAACTACTAATAGAAAGAGCATAAAATCGATAATATAAAAGAAAGAAGTGTTAGTTGCGGGACCCACAAATAATAGAAAGATATGGGAGCAAAGAGACATTGGGGAGCACAAAGGCCCATGACTCGACACTGACCCACTAAGATTTGACATCCACTATGCTGCAGTTGCAAATGGCAGCAGCAGCTGCTGCTTTCAGTCTCAGTGGGTTTTCGAGAAGTTTTATTATGTGTCTCGTGCGATTGATACAACTGGTTTTTTTTTGTTTTACAAATTTATGAATCCCGATCTTATATTTTTGGGTCCATAAAATTGTGAGACAAAAAAGTTACCTCATACAACTAGTATCAGTTGTATGAGACACAAAATAAAATTTTCCGTGAATTTTTCAATATAAGAAAAGAATGTACTAAATGGATATAGTATACTGATTAATGAGATGAATATTCAGTAGAGATTAGAGTTCAAATCAAAATTGAGATTAAAAAAATATCATTAATTTTTTAACTGTCAAAACTATAATAGGCAAAGTTATTTGGTAAAGGTAGAAGGTATATCACCGCGAGTAAAAAAAATTAAAAAAATAAAGTAGGTGTTGCATATAGATAGAGAGAGAGTAAATAGTGACAGAAAATTGTGTCCGTGTGCAAGTGTTTGATAGGAGTAGTACTTAGATGGATAAAGAAAGAAGAAAAGAAAAGAGTTAGGATTGGCAGCGGAAAGCGCGGGAGTCCATGTGATTAAGTATTTAGACCACCCGCTCTACACGGGCTTTCTCTCCATTAAAGTTTTTCTTCATTGGTCCTACCCTTTTTATATCACTTCCCAACCCCACCTTACTCTTCTATTTCTGTTTTTCGTTAATATCTCAACTTTGCTATGGGTGACATTTATTTATTTTTCCTTACAAGGTAGGTGTCAAAGATATGCAGCCACATGGACTATTACACTATATACTTTTTATCTTCTACCAACACATATACAAAATAAAAAGATTTTAATTACTCACATATTTATTGTCTATCTTATAATCATGACATGATTTTTTTTATTGATTTTGGAATGGTTATGGAAACCAATTCCGAGGCCATAAGAAAGTTAGAAATATGTTTGGAAAATAGATAGACACGTGCATAAAGAAAAAAATATATTCCATTTATTGTTTCGAAAAACAAGTATACAACTTAAATTAACAAACTTTGTATGTCACAGGCGGTAGAATGATGCTTTGATGTTGGATCGATCATGATGAAATGGATGCAGAATTCATTTCTCATCATGAATATTACTTGGGGGATCATAGAAAAAAAATGAATGCTGAATTCTAATTGGACTTAAAAAAACGTAGGAAAAGTCTACAATTTCCCTTTGAAGAACCGAATACACAACAGTGTAAGGGAGATAGTTTAGGTGAGAACAAAGGGAGACATGACAAAGATAAAGAGGAATTCTACGAAGTGACCTTCGATCTCGTGTAGCTTAAAAAATAAAATCATTAGAGAGGAAACTTTGCCCTAAAACAGAAATCTTTGTTAACCTAAGTAAGAGTCGCACGAATAAAATTGCCATCAAACATCACGACCAAAAAGAAATAGACGGACCTTCTAGTAATATATTCCATATAATCCTCTAAGAAACAAGATTGATTTCAACACAAATAGAACGTCACTATAACAATTATTACGCCACAATCACAAGCATATTTAAATTTGGATATATGAATCGTTATTGTCTATGTGAGGATTCATTATAAGTTGAGTAGTGTATCCGCCACATCAATGACACTAGAAATTTATACGACCTTTATATATATATATACATATATATATATATAAAAAAAAAGAGGAGTATATCATTAATTTAATGTAGAAATCACATGTATTACGCTTACATCTCAAGCATCAAGACCATAATACAGGTAGCTAAACATAAACATTAAATTCTCAAAAATCATACAGCATGCATCAACTTGAACATGAAGTAAAGCCACAAAGATAGCAAAACAGACCACAAAGAAAAGCAGCAGCCATATGGAAAACAGCATCCAGCAGTTATCAGTTAAACATGTTTAATGCAATCTAAGCACGTGAACGAACATATGCAGTCATACAGCACTTCCACTAAAAGTGATCTTGATTGGAAATTAAACAAAAGTTTTATTATCAGCTGAACTGGCAAGTTAAAAATTAAGGCACACGAGGCCAGATTAATAAATTATATGTATAGTTGTATAGATAGCCAAGCATCACTGAAAAGTTAAGTTGTACTTTGCAACAAAAAACAATTATAGTTGTCAAACACAAAGAATTTATATATCTACTTCACACATTGATTAACTTTTTTTCCACCTTAAGACTGCCATTTTTTGCCATTCTTTAGTGTAAGGCTGCTGCCCTCTACAGATCAAATGCCATTTGCCTCAACTCAAACCTTTTGTGGAAGTAGACAATGATAGCTTCTAATGGGTGGAGAAGCATAAAATAACATAACTTTATCCTATTTAATTAGTTCAATATATTACTCTAAGTCTTAAGTCCAGAACAAAGTGAAAGATTTTTGTAAAACAACATTAAAAAAACAAGTTCCAATTGTACTTGGCATGTATAGTTAAGGCTGCCAGGCTAGGACAGAAGATCATGAGAGTTAGATCAAAGAGAAAGAATTGAACAAAAGATCAATGTTGTCACGTGACACGTTAGTTAAGATTCCTGATTTTAATCTCTTACGATAAGAACAAATGGTGATAGTAAATCATTAGGCTGAATTCTTAGAAGAGTTTTCTTCCAAAAAAAGATAACTTTAACTGCACACCAATGAGAAATCAAACACTTCCCAATGAGTCTGCCAAAAACACATGCTATAATATCGGAACTTGAAACTAACAAAGAAAATAAAAAACATTTAAGGCTTTGAAGGCCAGAACATCAATTTATTTATTTTTAAAAACGAAATTGAAATCGGATCTTTCATAGAATACTAGGAAAACAAGAGAGGAACTACAGCATTTACTTGTGGAGAAAAGAAAAGGGTTGAGCTAATATTGGACATCCTTTTGCAAAAGACCAATTAACTGCAGTTCCACATGCAATGCACATTCGGAGAATACATGCGACATTGTAGACTGTACTCAACATATGAGAAAGTAAAGGCCAAGCAACATCATTGTACTTCAATCCAAGTTAATCATAAGTAATATATTTTTAAATGCGATAATATTTTTAAAAAATTCGAGCAACATAGATTAAAAGTATAGTCATGAAGATGAAGGTAAATAATGCTACAATTATAACTACCTTGATCAAGAATATCTTGCAATGAAAATATAAATCCGAGAGGAAACTGAAAATTGTGTTATTACCAAATTCTATGCTCTATCATATGCGTGAGCCAGCTCCCCGCAACAAAACTAGTCCAACTACAAGAATTATAAACCCTATTCATACTACTTGATAGGAAGTTAGCTGATTATATTTTCTATCTATATTTTAAGATATTACCCCGTGTCTTCTCCTTTTTAATGTAATACTCTCATTAGTTTGTAGGAATAGAAATTACAGGCATGTTCCATATTTAAGGTCACGATAACTCACGCTTGGTTTTTACACCAAATCAATCAACTTAACTTTAGCAACTAAAAGTCAATGTGAGATGACACACCATTGAATCAATGGTTAAGTAACGAATGCATACATAATAGACATGATTGTTTCCATGGATCAGCACATTGATCAAACAGAAGAATGGCAATTGCAATATGTTCCATAAGTTGCAAAATCTTTCTTGATTTAACAGGAAACTAAACAATTCTAAGATATATTTGCTACGGACAAAAACCCTTAAAACTCCAATCATACTAGTACCATAGTTACATAAATACCCAAAATATATAGTTACGGTCAGCAACAAATGTCCTCCCTATAATCAGCAGTGAATCTAGGAAAGCAAGGCTAGGGTAGATAGATATAGAGGACATATGTCACTGTTCTTGAAATAATGTTATAGCCTACTATAGCATGTCACGTCAGTCCGTGATACGTCAAAATCAGAATCTCTGAGCTAAAGTGGTTTAAATGCAAAAAAAGAAGAAAATTTCTCTGACACCAAACAAAAGGCAAGAGAGACAAGTGAAACACCACAAAACAATATGAGTAAAACTAGGATGAAAGGTCCCAGTTGCACTAAAACAGATCTCACCCTGAGGAAAAATATGGCTAGCTCTTTACTAAGTTAGCTATAGTATTTTGTATTCAGTGAATTACATGCAACAAAATAAGCAAAATTTCCAAAATCATATACTCAGCCACACATAAGGCAAGAAGCTCTCACTCATACATATCATTATTTTTATTGCTGACACCTTTTTGGTCATTTTTTGGAGCTCTATGCTATATTATTATCGCGTCCACCTAAGTGCTTTTTAATTGTTCTTTTCCTTAATTTGCAGCAACACAAGAAATAAGTACGACAACTATAGCTCAAGGAAAATACTACTGTGATTTTGAGGCTGATAGTCAAGTGGTACTGGTAGATTAGTTTGCAACCTATGTGTTTTCACAATTCTCATACTTTAATTTATTCATCATTCGTGTAAAAGAATTTCATTCGGAAGGGAAAAAAACAAGGAAAAGAGACGAAAAGAAATAGTTGCGGGCAAATTGGTAAGTACGCCATCATCATCGAAATAAATAAATAAATAAAACATGTAGTTGCAGCATGTGAAAGAGAAAGAGAACACGTAGTATTGGACTAACCTTTGCAAAGATTGCTGAGTTGCAATTCAATCTTGCTGAGGAACGTAGTTGCTTCATCGAAAGGCCTAGACAGATCCGACTTATACTTCACCAATATATCACAGTACGTTTCCTATTTTTCACATATAATAAGCATATATGATCAAAATTTCAAACAAACTGTTCCCAGCAAGAAAAGTCAATAACAGCTAGTAACAATTATAAATTCTACAAACAGAAAGAATTAAGAACTAACCATAAACTCGTCGAGTTCAGGATCAGCTCCTATGCATATGGAAGTAGCGTTTGCTTTACGAAAGTCATTTTGTTGCCTTATCTCTTCTAGTACAGTAGCTATCTCTGGTGGTGCTCCTACCTGAAAAATAAACGACCATTGAAACCTAGTCAGAACCTAAAGCCTAAATAATTATTACAAGTACTGGAAAAAAAAAAAGGAAAATTAAAAGAAGAAGATAAGATCGATATCCAAATTTGCAGAAGCTAAAGATTTCGAAAGCCATAACCCTCTTCGTAAAGAAAAGCAAATCACAAAGTTTCGGAAACTTTTGAAAAAACATATCTCTAAGAAGTGATGATGAAAATATATTTAGGTTAAACAGTCAGTGGGAGATGTACTGTTTAAATAAAATTCAGTCTTTTAATTCAAATCATAGAAATAGATGTGAAAACACTTAAAATTACTATATTGTTTTGGAAAACACTCGGAACTTTAAACAATACAGATTAAAAGCTTGTATATATGAGTAGTGTTTTAACCTTTTGGCAATCAATATAAGCGCGGAGCAATTTAGGATAATAAGGATGGGAGACGATTTTAGCCTTGATAATATTTGAAGCATCTTCATCATCATCTTCAGTATCATCGCGTCTGCTACAGCTGCCTCTAATTTGATGATTTTCAGAATTAGCAGCTTCCGATGATAATTGAACATCATCGGATCCAAACATCATAGGAGGAGTAGTCAAGGTGTTGTAGTTGTGGTAAGTCATGTTGTACTCAGTTTCCATAATTAAATTCTCCGGTGACATCAACGCCTTGTCCGCGTATTCACTTGTTGAATGGAAACCATACATTTCTTCATCCATATCACTCTTCAAAACCAAAGTTATGTGAATTAGTAAAGAAATAATCAAAATACTAATTTTATTTTTATAAAAGATGTTATTGGGTTGGAAGAAGAGAGCTGGTGGTTTTGTTTGCTATTTGAAGTGGGGTATTCTTTATTTACTATTTTAATGGAGGAAAAAAATTAAAGGAGAAGAGGAAAAGTAGGGAAGGCCGAAGAAGAGGTTCCAAGACTAGTGTGGGCAAGACCAAGATAGGTCCCATACTTGTTAGAGATAGCGAATCTAACATTTGGGTTAGTCCGATCTTACGCCTGCAAAAGTGTGCAATATTGAAAAGAAAATAAATAAAAAGAATATAAGGTAGAACATTTAAAGCATAAAATTACTTCTATTTTTACCAATTACTCATTAAGTTGTTTGTTCTGATGTTCACTTCTTGACCCGTTGAGCATATTCAGTGTGCTCCAAGCTTCGTTCTTCCACTTGTTAAATTAGCTAAGTTTGGACATAGATTTGGTTGAACCATAAAGAAATAGTTTTAAAGCTGTGTTGAAAAATAATTTTTGAAAGTTGAAGTTGTATTTGGATATGTATTTTATTTGAATAAAAAAGTTGAAGTTTTGTGAGCGGAAGAAAAATATTCACCCAAAACTAGCCTAAACCAGTTTTTGGGAACTTGAAATTTTTCAAAAACTAATCATATTCTATGAACAAATAATATTTTTTTAAAAATTTAAAAAACAAAATTACCAAAATTTATGACCAAACGGGAACTAAATTTATTTACTCTAGTTCATGCGCTTTAACCTCATAAATACACTAAGTATTAGATCTACCCTAACCTGTGAGGGTTGTTAAAAAATTAGAGTTAGTCAAGAAACCAAAGAGAAATCATTTGTCAAAATAAATTCTAGCACAGAATCATATTGTACATAAATATGTCAGAGATATATAATGTGACCTCCATATGGGATGGCAGACCGACTGAGGACGGGTTAAGCAAGGTTGACAAATTTCTAGGCTGGGAAGCTTTTTAACTATATCTTTGGTAACTTTCACAACGGAATAACAAGTGAATAATTTTATAAGATATAATAGAAGTTCACATAATATGCATGTGTTTGGGGTCGATAATGGCATAGTCCAACGAACTCATTGAGATTTTTATAACTGGACCAACAAAAAAATGAAGCACACATATGAAGAGGCATATTGTAGAGTTAAATAAAATTAGTAAAACAGTCCTCTCACTATTGTTAGAATTTTTAGATGATAGAAATCTTTCTTTATAGCCAATAGGTGCTATATATACAATTATCATAAGATAATATGGCCATTCTTAGTGCTTTTTCCATGTGTATTATCCAAATTCTAGTTATTTTATTCTTTATTACCTTCTGTTTCGTTTTCACAAGCAACCAAACGGCCATGATCAAGTAGTCCACGCAGAGTCAAAGCCATCGTCTTTTAATGCCAAAAATGCCCTCAAGAACGTGTCTCTTGCAGTCTCGCTCCATACTCAAATCCACATGGTCCTGTTGTCTAAAAATTGGTCAAATTTGACCCCGAAACAAGTTCATACTGTATTTACATTTTTTTTTTCTTGCTTGATAGGCTAGATTTACCATATTTAAAAGAAGCTTATATACTGTTAGATGCAAGTTGGTTAAAATGAGTAAAAATAAAAAGTTGAGCTAATTGTTAAAAACAGAGAACCTCGTATAAGAAGTGAAATAATTCAGACACAAGTTTGATAGAAAAGATCAACAAAATTTAGTGGGAGATGGAGTATCTTAAATAATATAACGGATCTAGCAAGTATTTGATGAAATAACCGGGAGAAGTATAAGTAAATCCGAATACTACCGTCATATTAAAAATACAATTGGCATATAATATTACATGAAAGTGGAAGGTTAGAACATAAAGAAATTCGGAAATGACGTCAGATGGTAAAAAGCTGGAACATAGATGTTGGGAAGAGTGTTTGAAGAACTAAATTTAAAGAGAAAGGTGCGACAATAATCACTTGTAAAGAGTATGATAATGATATTTAATCAGACAATTCAGATTAGTGATGTTATAGGAATAACTTTACTAAATAATAGAAAAGAACCTTGATCCGTTTATATAAGTCTAATCTTAAGATTTAGGAAGAGCAAATTTTTAAGAAAAATGATGCCTTAAAGGGAATCAAACTTTAGGAGCTACTGCATTCCTGTATGGTGTACAGTGTCTGAAGGGGAGATCACAAATTTTATTATTTAATCAAGAGAGAAAGGTTCTCATGTACTTTGTAATTAGAAGATCGAAAAGGCTAAATATACCCCTAATACTATTAGAAAAGATTTAAATGTCTCCTTCGTTATACTTTGAGTTTAAATATATCCTTGTCGTTATACTATTGGTTCAAATGTACTACTTTTCAGTGAAGTTTGTCCAAGGTGGATGCCACATGGCTTGCCACCTCAGTGCCCCGGCCCTAACCCATTTTACCCCTCCTTTCTATTTTTTTTCCACTACTAAAATTTTCTTCCCCTCCACCACTATTGCCACCATTACTGCTACCATAAAAAATATTGTATTTTAAATTTTAGTCTTTTATATATGAATTAGAGGCGCTGAGGTGGCGTACTATGTGGCATCTACCTCATCAAATATCAGTGCCACGTAGGATTGGATGTCCACCTTAGACAAACTTAACAAAAGAAGGGTATCTTTGAATAGAGTTAGTCGAGTTGTAAACCTTTGTAATAGAGTTATGACAAAGTGGCTTGTAATAGATTTGTTACAAGTTAGTGAGGGATTAAGAGGTTGATTCCTAGGTTACAATAGGTTGTAATCTGAAGTTTGCTCAGTAGTAAAATTGAAATCCTACAAGGGTAGGTCATGATTTTTAATTACGTGAGCTGGGAGTTTTCCACGTAAAACTCCATTATGTCATTTAATTATTGCAGTGCGCGTGTGTTCTGTGGGAACTAATAGAGAACCTAGTTCTCTATATAGTTTGGTGGACCCTTAGTTTCTATCAATTGGTATAAGAGTAGGTTCTTTCTATCAGAATAATACCTAGAAAGGATCATCGTGGTTGCTCCGCCAAACTTTGAAGAAAGATAATTAACCTACAGACCACCAAGATTCAACGGCCAATACTATGGATGGTGGAAGACAAGAATGCATGATTCATTATGGCTGAAGATTCAGAGCTCTGAATGTTATTTGTGATGGACCATTTGTTCCTACAAAGACTATTGGAGACCAAGCATCGACAATTCCCAAAACAAGAAAGGAATACAACGATGATGACCGCAAGGCTATAGAAAAGAACTTTAGAGCAAAGAAAATCCCCGTCTGTGGTATTGGACCAGATGAGTACAACAGAATTTTAGCATGTTAATCGGCTAAGGAGATTTGGGAAGCTCTCCAAACAGCTCATGAAGGGACAACACAAGTAAAGCAGTCGAAGATTGATATGTTAACCACAGAATATGAGCTCTTCAAGATGAAGGATGATGAGTCCATTCAGGATATGCACACTCGCTTCACATCTAGCATCAATGAACTTCACTCTCTGGGAGAAATCATCCCCAGGGACAAACTTGCCAAAGTTACTCAGTGTATTACCTGGTTCCTGGGAGAGCAAAGTAAACGCTATCACATAAGCAAAGGACTTGCAGAAGTTGACCATTGATGAACTGATTAGCAATCTGAAGACTTATGAAATAAAGAAAGAGAAGAATAATGAGAGAAGAGAACCAAAAAGGGAGAAGAACCTGGTCCTCAAGGCAGACAGCAATGACTCAGGTAGTGAGGATGCTGATATAACTTACCTAACAAAAAGATTTCAAAAAATGGTTCGTAGAAATAGAGGTATTCCAAAAAGGGGCAGCTCCAGCAAGCCAAAAGGTTATGACATGTGTCATAAGTGCGGTAAGCCAGGACACTTCATCAAGTATTGTCCTCTCCTCAAGCAAGATCAGTACAAACACAACACAAACAAAGCAGCTAAGAGGAACCTGGTTCCTGACAAATGTTTCAAGAGAAAAGATGTCACTGACAATGTTGTGAAACAAGCTCTTGCTGCATGGGAGACTCTTCCAGCAAATCTGAAGAAGTTGATGAGGTGACAACTTCATGATGGCAGTGGAAAGAGAAGCAGCTGAGTATGACTCTATCTTTGCCCTGATGGCAAAATCTGATCATGATGAAGATGACGATGATGATGATGAGGTAAACTTTCTAGATGTTCAAAGAAATTTGAAGTCTTATTCTCCGAAAAAACTTATGTCTTTGGCAAATGTTTTAATTGATGCTTATCATTGTCTTATAAATGATAAAAATACATTAACTGTGGAACTATGAGAAGCAGAACATGAGAGAGAGGATCTAGTAGTCATGGTGGTAGATTTGAAAGAAACCATTGAGAGTTTAAACAAAGAAAAAAATTCCTTAACTGAAAAAATTACAAACATAGAATATGAGAGAGATGATCTAGTGGTTGTTGTAGTCGATCTAAAAGAGACCATTGAGTGTGTTAAAAAGGTGAAAGAAGTTTTAACTAAACAGGTTGCTAACATTGAGCATGAGAGAGATGACCTATTAGTAGTGGTTGTAGACCTAAAGAAAATAATTGAGGAACTAAAACAAAAAAGTAGGCATGAGATTCTTCAATAGGGAAAGGAAGTTGCAAATGAGACACATCTTAGGCTTGAAGATGAGCTAAAATTAGTGAAATCTAGTTTGAGTGCTGAACTCGAGAAAAACAAACAACTTCAGGAACATCTAGGTAGAGTTAAGAGTGATTTTGAAAAATCACTCAAGTAGACCTGGTCCTCTGATGCTATCACTGCCATGTATACGAATAATGGGGGAAACAGGCAATGAATCAGGTTCCAAAGGGAAAAGACTCCCTACAACCCTCATAGCAAGTACATTACTATACCTGATAACTGGCTCTGCACTCACTATGGTAACAATGGCACTTTAAGGAAACTTGTAAGGCCAGATTTCAGTCTCAACAAAAAAATAAAGTTTTTGCTAAAAAGGTAACTACTGCTAGAGAACCTGGTCCCTCATATATAAAATATGTGATGCCTGCTTGGACCAAAAGAGCCCCCATTCACCCCTTTCCTCATTACAAATGACCCAAACTTATTTGGGTTCTTAAGTCTAACCCTTGATTTCCTTGTGCAGGGAGCAGGGAGCGAGAGCAGCCAACAATGGTACATGGATAGTGGCTGTTCGAAGCACATGATTGGAAATACAAATGATTTTCTTTCACTGAAGGCCCTGCAAGGAGGAGT